CAAGGACGGAGCCAAGGGGGGACCTACGGGTGCCACGGCCCCCCCAACAATTTTAATTTTTTTTTATATACATATATATTACTATATGGCACCCCCTATTTTTAATATAAACTCATATTTTTAATATAAACTCATATGTATATTACTATATGGCACCCCCTATATGGCACCCCCAGTATGTATATGTATAATTAAATCATATAAAATTATTTATATTTGAAATAACATAATATACATTGAAATAAAATAATATAAGATATTAATCAATTTATAAAACATATTAAAAGCTGTGTATTTTATATTAAAATGTAAAAAAAATCTCAAATTTGATAACCTATTCACACTTTTGTTTTCTTTGCTAAAAAAGTACTCTAAAACTTCGTTAGAAATGATAAAAATAGTTGTTAATTTTGATAAAATAAGAGATTACTGAAGAAAAAAAAAGCATGATTAAAAAGTAGTTTATAAAAGGTAAAATTGTCTTAAATCATATATACAAAAATAATGTGTTTATATATGTTATTAATCTAAAAAAGGTTTAAAAATAAATATTATGTGTCTTTTATATTTTTTAAATAAAAAATAAAAGTTAAGGTTAATAATTAGAGGTGAATAATTGTTAAATAGTTGTAATTATAAGAATATTTTTTAAGTAATTTAAAAAAAAACTAAATAAAAAATGATGGATAAATAAAGAGTGATCTAAAAATAAAGAGTAATTTAAAAGATAATTATAAACAAACAATTTTGTCTTGAAAATATGTACATCAAATAAATCAATTTCCTTTATGATTAATATACATTGATAATAAAAATAACAATTAATAACTTCATTAAAAATAAATAAATAAACGAAATAATTTTATTGATAGAATAAGTAGTTACTTAATTAATATATATATATATATACATAAATTTTTTCTTATTTTATTTTAAGAAATTTATTAACGGAAAAATGTTAAATATGATAAAATGATTAAAAAAATCAATGTCAAAATATTTTTTTAGTCTTAATAATTTAACTCATTTTATTTTTTAGTTTTTTTAATTTAACATTTTTTTTAGTTATATACTTATTTTTTTAATCATTTTTTAATCTATATAATTTAAAATAGAATGTTTTATTCCTTGTTCTTACAACTTTTTAATCTTTTTAATATTTATCATTAATTTTTGTGTAATATTATCTCTTTTATGTTGATGTGACATAAATATTAGTTCAACTTTATATATTTTATATCTAATTAATTTTATTTGATTATCATAAATTAAGTTTTTTAAAGGTTAATGTCTCTTTTTTATACTCTTTTATGATATCTATTATTGAGATAATATTGTTTTTACCTTTATAAAATTGAACTTTACCACGTACAATAAACCCTAAAAAAAATAACAATAAAGATTGTAAAGAATTTTAAAAAAGTATAAATATTAAAAAAAATATCTTAAATTATAAGGACAAAAAATAATAATAAAAATAAATATTGGAGTTAAAAGTGACTATTTTTAATTATAATGACTAAAAAGTAAAATAAATGAAACTAAAATGTATTTTAACCAAATTTTAATAAAAGTAGAGATAAAATAGAGATATTTCTTTTATGTATTGTTATAGATTCTCTTTGTATATAAATTAAAATAATTACTCAAATTTTTTAAAGTTATTTTGTAATGAATTTTTTTTTGGAGACTTTTGTAATTATTTTTAGTTTTAACTTTTTATAAAAATTTTATTTTATCTTTTATTTTTAGATTTAATTTTAATGTTTTAAAAATAAATTTATTGTCAAAATTAAATTTATATCATAATATAGATTATTATCAGAAATTAAAAATATTATTATGTGTTAAAAATATTTATTTAATAATTATTTTTATTATAATATACTTTATAAAATATTTATTTATTATAAAAATAAGTTATATAAAATAATTAAAATTAATTATATAATTTTGTAAATTTACTTTTTTACTTGTTATTAAAGATTCAATCTTCCAATTATTCACAAGAGACATGATTTTTTATGTTTACATTAAAAATTTATGTTTCAAATAAGAAATTCAAAAAATTAAAGATTCGATTAATGATTATAATGCAAAATTGATAGAAGAAATAATGTATATGATTAAGTTTCGTTATATATTTTTTATTTTTATTTTTAATATTTATAATTTCATAAGTTTTACTTTTTAAATTTCTATAATAATAGAATATAACACTTAAAATAAAAAAATATTAAAGACAATATAAAATACATTTAATTATAAAATTGAACAGTAAATTTTACGAAGTTATAGTAAAAAAATATAATTAAAGCAAATAAATATTTGCAGTGAAATGGTAGTTTATTTTAGAAATGTATGTGATATTATATAAAGAAAATAATAAAATATTAATATAATTCAATAAAAAAAACGCATCTAACAAAAATGTTGAAAATAATTTTTTTATTGAATTATATTAATATTAATAAAAATATTAATATAATTCAAGAAAGAAAAAAAAAACGCATCTAACAAAAATGTTGAAAATAATCTTTAGATAAGTCTTCTTTCAACTATTAAATTAAATGTTACATGAACAGACGGATCAAAAACCAAAGGAATTGAATGGCACCAAGCTGTGTGAAATGGCACTGATTCTAGAAGTAACAGAAATTCGGATTTTGTGATTGGGAGAGAAACCGACCCAGTGGTGTCATTACCGCTGCCCCGTGCAATCGGAAGGGTGTGAAGAACAAGTGTTTGGAATTATTGTCTTTACACAACTCAACCAACCTTGTGTGCAAAATTAGGGTTTTGGTAAATCCCCAAAATGTCGACTGGAAAACCCAGAGACGGTGACTTTCAGATGGTTGCGGCGCCGGGGACGTCTAAGCCGCCCCTTCCGCCGCCAGCAGCATCGAATGCGATAGTGGAATATACTCCGGTCGCTTTCAAGGAGGAAGAGGAGGACCTGGAAGTCAAGCTCCGACGGATTATCGACAATGTTCCCGTCCGTGTTAGCAACACTTCCGGTAGTTCGGCCGGTTCAGGCTCCGGCGACTTCCACCAGGTATACATTATTGCTCTTTTTCTTTATTTATAATAAAAACTATAGTTGAGGATATAAACATATAGTACCTAGAGTTTGCCTGCTTATCCATTATCATGCGTCAGTTTTGAATTCATAGGAAATAACAAAAGCAATAAGAAGTGATACCGAAATTTAATCTTTTGTTTGGTTCTTAGATCACTGCATTGGTGACGAGGGGATACATTGTTGACATATGAATACACATCGTGTTGGGGGAGGTTCAGAAAGACACTGTATTTAGTGGAACTGTGCAAGTTCTATTGCGTGAGGGGTGTCTTGTTGGTTAATAAGTTCTGGGGTGAGATGGCAGGGTTCAAAGTGTTTGAAATAGATTTGATCTCGTGATCAAGTTATCTTAAAGAAAATTGTGCTTTTGAGTTTTTAAACATATGTTACTCTCTTATATGGGGCTTAAACCTAGAAAATTATGATTTATGAAGTGTAATATAAAGGTTCATGTAGAAGTTGGATGTGAACTGGTTGGCAAAACTATCATGCTCCAATGTTGCAAGATTACTTGCTCATTGACTAGTTCTTGATTTACCTACTTTAATTATACTGAAGATAACAGTCTAATGCATAAACTTATCAGAACTTTGCTATTTTTTTTAAAGCAGCCTTGTTATTGGATCTCATTAGTGTAAAGGCATTCTTTCTAGCACTTGAGGTGTCCTGCCCTGAATTATTTCTTGGGACATCTATTAATGATAATACATCTTGTTATTTGAGTGATTTGTAATAACCTAGTTATGAATACTGTAGTACCTATGTTCCGACTCGTGTTTATCTAACACATTATGTCCCATATTTGATTAACTTTTAGCTTATGGGTGCTTTTCAATTGTAAAACCTGCTGTTAAGATTTTTCTAAGACAAGAATGTCGAGTTCTGTTAAGTTGATAAGTGCTTATGTTATGGATAAGTTAGATAATAAAACTTTTGAAAGAGTTGTGGTGCACAAATTGATTTTAACTTATGTAAGGAGTTTGGTTCATTTATTCCTTGATTCATTTTTATTTTCTTCTATAAGTGTTTGTTAAGAAGTTTGTTTAAACTGGCTTGATATCTGGGTTATTTACTTGTCTTTTTTTTTTTTTCGTGTCAATAGTTTTTAAGGTGATGGATATATTGTTCTGAGTGTTTTTCTTCTTATATGCTTCAAATTCTGGTTCCAACAGTATCGGCAGATGAGACGCAAGGAGCAAGATCGTCTTGCTAGGATGGAAGTCGACTACCAGAGAAGGAAAGAGGTGGCAGAATTTAATTTGAGAAGGGAGGAAAGACTAAAAGCAGCTGAGGAACGGACAGCGAAGAAGCGAGCAAAACGTCAAAAGAAGAAACAAAAGAAAAAGGAGAAAAAGATCAAATTAAATGCTGAAGATCAACCGCAAGAGAAAGAAGATTCCTCAGGTGATGGAGACTCTGATAACGATGAGGAGGCAGCATCCTAACAAGCTTTGATCGTGCCCAAACTTCTGAAATTTGGTTCAATGTATGTGGGCATATTTAGCTTCAGATTAAACACAGGCATGGCTCCGGCTTTCCATTATTTGTATCACATGTATGATTTCTGAGGTACTGTGTTCGTAAGGGATGCTATATATTGTTTGAAGTCAAAAAATTGATGAGTTAGAGAACAAATCTTACAAGCTTTTTATATAAAAGAATCCAGCTTGCAACTCGCTATGTAATGTGATGCAGTATAAAAGTAAATGATAAAAACAAAATGTCACATAAATTAACTTTGGCTCTGTTTAACTAAACTTCTCCAAAAAGTATTTTTAAGAAAAAAAAATATGAAGAAAAGTGAAATAAATTTTTTCATAAATTAAAATTAATTGATGTATAAGTTAGTTTGTAAAAATCCTCTTGTATTAACTTATTTAAAAACTTATTTTTAACTTTTGTATAAGTTAACTTTAGTTTATAAAAAAAAAGTATTTCATTTTTTTTCTCCTAAAAAATACTTCTTGAGAAGTTTATGCCAAGTTGAATGAGTAAAATATCCCGATTAATTCATTCTTATAGTGTCAATGCATGTTTAGCGTTTTTAAAAATTAATTTTGCTACAACTAGAATTAATATTATGAGAACTGAAAATATTTAACTACTTTGTTGACAAAAAGTAATTTTATTTGTACAATTTATGAATCAAATTCATATTTTAAAATAATTTTAGTTATCATTCAAATGTTTTTTCTTAAATTATTTTTTAAATATTGTTTTCATTCTAAATAAATTGTTTAAAATCAATCTTTTAACATTTTTTTTTAAATTATTTTCCTACAACAGTAACCGTCAATCCCTAATTCACCCAAATCTCGAAGTTTCAATCACTGAAACTAAAGAAAAGAGTGAAAGTAGGAGTTAAAACACAAGTTACACTACAATAATGTCTTGAAGTGGGTTTGGTAAAGTAAATGAAATAGATGAAATTCGGAGGACAAATGTAACAGTGAAGATTGAAAGTGTGCTAGAAATGATGAGATGTTGTATACTTATGGTGTATGGGACATTTACTTTTTCTAGTTTAGTCCAATTTACAGACCACATTAAAAAATCTTTCTAAACATATAGTCTAAGATGATGAAATGTCGCAATGTTGAGAGTGCGCAATAGCTTAGGATTCTTAAGTGAGAGGGGTCCAGATTTTTTTTTTTTTAATTTCTTATATTTTATAATGCAACCGCAGAGGTGAACTGCATATTTTGTTTTATATTTTTTAAACTTTTAATTAGTATTTATATTTTAAACTTCGCAGACATACCGCAAAGTAAATACATTTTATTATCTTCTATTTTTCTTATTAATGAATAAATTCATATATACAAAAAAAATTAATAAATTTGTTAATATAATTTTTTAAAAAACATACTATAAAATACTTTTTACATGATTCATCATACATTGCGCAAATCCATGCTCTAATTATTACAAAACTTAAGAATTTTATTATATATTAGTGGAGTTGAGAACTTAGGGGGGTGTATTGGATTAGGATTTTAAAGGACTTTTTTAGTGAAAAAAAATCCTGCGGATTTTAAAAGACTTTGCAGGATTTTCACGACTTTTAAGATTTTGCAGGATTCTACAAGATTTAAAATTAGGATTTTAATGGATTCTACAAGACTTTTAAATCAGGATTTTAATGGATTCTGTGGGATTTTGTGGAGTTTTGACATTTGATAAGATTTAAAAAAAAA